TTTTAAAATGCACCTCTGTACTTTATTTTTTTATCAGCATTGTTTGCTGTCTCAATAAATCTTTCTAATACATCATGAGAAGTTCAACACTAATTATTGCGTGAGAAGGTTTTCTGCATAACTGTGGGAAGAAAAATAAATTTAAAGTAATTGCCCCGAGAGTTTTATTGTTTTATACTACTGCTGTAAGTAAATAGAACACAGAGTAATCTTTGTTTTACTAACTGCTAAAATAGAAATTTATCTAATCTCAGGATTACATTCTTGCTTCTCTGTTCTTGGACATGCTTTCAGTTAACTAAAGTTGAGGGTACATGTTTAAGTGGAAAACTGGAACTGGCATAAATGAATATCAAAACGTGTTGCCTTTTTCCTTGAATACTGTAGTGCAATACATTTGAAATATTCTGAAGAATGGAGACCTTATAAATCAGGCTTTTTCAAAACTGAGGAATGAAGTTACATGGTGGTTTGGTCATCCGTTGGCATTTTGCTTTGTTTTAGTTTTTCATTTGCAAGTTGATGCATCATTATAGTGTTCACGAGAGGTGCAGGTACAGCACTGGCAGCAGCAGTGCAAGGTATCCCAGGAAGGAAGGACTGCTTCTAATGGTGGGAGATACTCAGTGCTATTCAGTTATTGATCTCTGCTGAGACCAGGAAGATTTTCTGTTAGTACCAACGTTGGTCGTGCTTTTTGTAATGCAGATACTTATTCTTTGAGAGCTGGGCAGAGACATCTAAACTCATTTCACATAGAACACCAGCTAGTCAATAGACAGTAATAACTTTTGATAACTGATTAGCTATACTGGATTCAACCAATTGCCTTGAGGTAAAAGACTCCATATGCCAGTATCATTTCTTTGCCCTATCCCGTCTCCTCTAACCCCCCTAGCAAGATATCTTTCTACGATACCAGATTTTTAACCATTACAGTGCTGCCTAATACAACAAGCACAGGGTGTAGTTGTGATCCCCTGTTGTTTTGCATACCTGGCGTCTCCTCACCGAGAATGTTAGCACTTAAAATGACACTGCTGCATTCCAGAGCATGGATGAGAGTAGCAAAAGTGGTTAATCCATTACTGCTGCTGTTAATAAGTGACACTGGGATACTGTGAAGAGAAAGAAAGAGCAGTTGAGCTCTAAAGGCTTGAAAGGCGTACTATAAATGTGGCACAAAAGGTCTTATTGAATGCAAAAGGAGATAATTTCTTCTGTTGTCCCCTTGAAAAGGGACCAGATTCTTTCCTTTGATTGTAGTGCATCTATACATGAAGGTCTGGCTGAACAAGGAGTGTCTGGAGATGCACTTCTGCTAAACATGATTCATTTAAAGTCTATACCTCCTCTCAGCGCATAGGGCAAGATTCTCAGCTGCATAGGCCAAGACCGGCCAAGCTGCATTGAAATTGATGGTGCTACAGTGATATAAACCAGCTAAGGATGTGACAGGAAGTTCTGAAATGTCCTCTGTGAAACTTTAAAGAATAAAAAAAAATATTATTCTCTATTTTTACCTTGTTACTTTTCCAGTTTGAGAGGAGGCAGACTGAGCAGTGGGTGCATACTCTCCTCAAGCATTTGTTTGTCACCTCCCAAGTATGATTTCTTCCCCTGTACTTTTTCTCCTTTTCATAATTGAAAACTACCTGCTTCATGATTACTTCACTGCAACATGAGCTATGCTCAGTTTGGGGAAAAGAATGGATTAAAGGAGGACAATCTATTTGTGGACCGAGCCCCACTGGCAGGGACGGTTATACCAATTAGTAAGTGGAAATATGGCCCTGTATACAGACATTTGGCCCTGAGAGGAGTTAATCTTGGTTAGCTCTGCAGGAGAGAGCAGCTTACATTCTTGAGTCTGGCCATAGTTATTTTTAAGATTTTATAATAGAACTAGAGAAAATTCATCATGGACTACAAAGGAGTATGCAAGGTTTTTGCCTAGGTACAAAAACTTAAAAAAAAAGTTATTGTGACATTTTACTTTTGCTGAACTGTAGGAATGAAGCTCAGAAAGCATTCCGATTGCTTAAGGGTTCTCAAACTGAGGGTTGGGACCCCTCAGGGGGTCGTGAGGTTATTACATGGGGGGTCATGAGCTGTCAACCTCCACCCCAAACCCCGCTTTGCCTCCAGCATTTATAATGGTGTTAAATATATTAAAAAGTGTTTTTAATTTGATAAGGGGGGTCACACTCAGAGGCTTGCTATGTGAAAGGGGTCATCAGTAAAAAAGTTTGAGAGCCACTGCTATAGCTCCTTTAAAAACAGAGACAGTCAAGATTTTGCCATTATATGCATATTATATATTCACATAATATAAAGGATTAATTACCTTGGTGGCAAATATAAAACAGAATTATTGTAGTTTAGAAATTTGTTAGTGAAACTAGTGTGTAATATAAATAATAACTTAAAACAATTGTTATTACATAATCAGTCATTTGGGGAAATCAGTGTATGCTTGCTTTATCCAATCAGTGGTGTACTCATTTTAATTGGGTAGTAGACAGTCTGCAGCGACTCTAAATTAGGTCTTCCAGACTTATTATTTTAGAAGTCTGAAATTTATTTACCTGAATTTTCATAATTAGCAACTGTTTCTTAAATAGATAAAAAAGTGCAAGATGGTTGTTTCTACATTTAAAAAAATATTATCAGGGAAAAAAAAAGAGAACTAGCCCACCAAACTGGCATTTAAATAACATCATCCTTTGGGTTTTGAATTGGAAACTTAGGTCTTCATTATGCAAACACTTATCTAGAACATTGCCCTGTTGGGCTAGTTTGTGACTTTGCGGCAACCCCCTCTGTATGGCACAGCATGTTCAAGTGCTGCATATGGAAGGAATCATAAGAGCACAGCACTGCTTCCCCTGTGTGCCCATTCCCAAGGTCTGGGTAGCTCACATGGAGTTATAAGACTCTTACTTCCCCGGAGTCACTTGCATAGGCCTCACAGCCTGTGGCACAATCAAGCCTGCTGACTTCACTGGGGCTACTTTTGTCAGTAAGCACTACCTCCTGAAAATGAGTCTTTGCAGTTGTGATCCCTTACATTTTAATGAGCCTGAAGACCTCTGTTAACACTCCATACATAATATGTTCTATTATGGTCTGGTTGATGTCAGACTCTGGCAGTACCCAGGCTCGCCACTAGGAGTTGAGAGGAGAGTGCTGCCACTGATATTTAAATTGAGTCATTAAAGTTTGCTAACACCGTGAGCTCTTTTTGTGGTGAATCTTTTAGACACACTCCATTGAAGTCAGATGGTTTTTGTGTGTGATTTTTATCAGTTTCAGGTGTTTTCATGGTATGTTTATTTTATTATCACTCATATAGAACATTCCAAAGAAAGTGAGGATTTTTGATTTGTTGATGTGATGTCTCAGTGTGATATCACTGTAAAACAATCTGGTTCTCATTTGGATCTTTTTCAGTTAGAGTAGGAAATAAGGATTCTTGTTTATCTGTAAAAGAAAGAAAAAAAATCCCGGGTTTATAATATTAATAATGACCTCAATTCAGGACAGTAACTTAGGAATTAATGACCAGTTAAGGTTAATGACCCAAGGCCCTGAGTCATTAAACTCCAAGGAAATGTCCTGCACTTTGATTGCCATTAGTTTATTAGAAATTGGTTGTAGAAGTTAAAAAAAAAAGGGGTGTTTCCCATCCCATGGATGATCTGATGGTCACAGGAAAAGTGGGTGTTTTATTATCTGCTTCCTGCTGCAGTCCCAGCATAGATAAAAATCCCCATACAGTCAATGGGATTTTGGCCTATGCTAGGACTGCAGGGGCTGAGCAGCTCAACATTCTCCCTCATCCTACCCCATTCAGAAATAAATGAGACACCCTTATACTGGGCATAGTCTATAATAAGACTGCAATGTAAAAAAAAAATAGATTACCTGTCTCTGTGAAGGCATCCCTAAATAACCCCCAAGTAGGTAGCTACAGGAACATACAAGAACATAATGGTTTGGTCTATACATGGGAATATGAGCACTTTGGTGAGGCAGGTGTTGCATATATATTCATATGTGGGTAGGTAGTAAATATTTTCATTGTAGTCCATGTCCAATTTGTAGGCTACTTACACAGCCCTGGAGGTGGAAAGTCGTTTATGTGAGCAAAGGACAAGGAATGCATAAACCTGAAACCCTTTATTTATTCACACTGGGCATATGAATGCTGCTATGATGACAGTTGCTCAACAGTGTCCTACAAATAATTCTGAGCCCTTTCTGATGTAGTACATTTAAAGTAAGGTGACTTAGTGTGATTTTCACTTTAAATAGAATAAGGGTTAAATGATAACTTGACTTATCTTTTAAATGACAAAAAATAAAGAAATTGCAAGACCTTTTCACACATTAGATATGTATTGTCATTTATCATCTAGATATCAGGCTAGCAGTGCGAAGTAATAAAACATATCATCGAAAAATGTGCTATAGGTCTGAATCACTCTTTCATTCCACCTCCCAGCTAACTGTAGTATTAAATCAAACAAGCAGAACATTTCCTTAGGCAGCCATTGCCTTTTAATTTCCTGAAGAACCTTAAAATATCATTCATTACAAGTACTACACATATTTGGTTTTTAAAAGTCTCATAAATCAATAGCAAGCTGACTGTAATAATTATTACAAGTTAGTGCATAATTTTCGTGCTGAAGGCTGCATGCAGAACTTTAGCATATGCAAACGAGGCAATTCAAACTGTGTATAGATATTAATATGAAGAAGCAGGTAACGAGGTGCAGGCTATGAATTATGCATCAAGAGCGGCTGATCTTCAATGAGGAAAATGAATTCAGCATGTAATCTAATTAGTGATGGAAGTCTATTACATCTAACTGCAAAAGCAACCGTCCTTGAAACAAATTTATTTACAGTCCATGTTACCACTTGAAACAACTTTGAAATGATGTGTAAGACAACAGCTTAATTGTAAAAAAAAATTTGTTTGTTTGTTTCAGTTCTAGACCTGGAAGGCCTCCTAAGAGGACTCAAAGTGTCACCTCCCCAGAGAATTCTCATATCATGCCACACTCTGTCCCAGGTCTAATGTCTCCTGGAATCATCCCACCAACAGGTAGGACTGTTAGTAATGCATTAGCACTTGAAATCTTATGGCTGGTTGATTTATGTCCATTTGTTTAATAATCACAAACAATAAAAAAGGAAAAATATACAAAACCAACACTGTAATATCACATAACTTATGCTGCAATATGGAGTATCTTATTGTCATGTCAATGTATTGTCTACTAGAAAGATTAGCAGCACAACTTTTTACAATACAAACACTTGAGTAGACAGTGGCCCTTTATAGTGTTTTCTCTTTTTTTATTAAAAAAATAGTCCTTTGAAGCATAGCATTTCTTACCTTATTGTTTTCATCCTCCACTTGGCAAACAATGATTCCCTCAGTCCTTGTGTTTTGAATAGCTCAGTGATCTTTGTGACTGCTCTTTTTTGCCTCTTTATCTGACCATTTGTACAATAGTTGGTATCATCAGTAATGTGCCTGCCCCAGAGAATTGAGTTTATTAGTTTGAGTAACTACTTGTTGCACAAACATCCCTTATGATTTCTCACACTCAAATCATGCCCGTGGTATGTGTCTGCCTTCCTTTTTATTATAGTAATGTCCACTTAGGCAACGTTTTGTCACTTAATTAAACTGCCATCATCCTTTTTAAGGTGAGAAGATAAACACTGTGGGTCAGATTCTGCTGCCTTATGGAGGTAGAATGTCCCTAGGATAGTCCCATTGAAATCAAATAGGAGGGGCCTACTACTGTACATAGAAGACCAAATCCATGTAGATGGAAGATCCTAATGGAAGAGTTGCTATGGAACCTCGTCCCTCAGCCTCATTCCATCTCCTTACTTTTCAGGCTGGCAGAAGCCCCTTTATCCTCTGCAAGGTTGATCTGAGTCCCCCCTCTCCTTCCCCAGGTACCCACTTACTTCCTCATCTTTAGCATCTTCATCTTTAGCACTGACTTTCTCTTAATTGCTATAGACAGATCTAAGAGGAGAAGGCAGTGGGATCACAAAGCAGCCTTGAGGTGAATAAGGGATCTTCGCAAGGATAAAGACTGGGAGAGAGAGAAGGGAGACAGATGTTAGGAGGACATTTGGGGAGAAGACAAGAAAAGGTGAGAGCAAGATTGGTAGCCATTGGTAGCAAGGATGTAATGGGCAAGGCAGGCGTATGTTGGGTAGGCAGGACTGACAACATCTTGTGGGATAAGGGAAAGTACTTTTGTGGGGCAGGGCTAGTGAGAAACGGGGAATCAGGTTTAGAGAAGGGGAAGGCATAGTAAGAGAGAGGAAAACTGGTGAAGAGGAAGTATGGTGGATTCACAGAGAGAACAGAGTGGGAGGAAATTCTAGCATGAGGAAGAAAAGAGAAGGCGGTGGTACCCTTCAGGGAAAGGAAATGATTTTGGAGAGGGAATGATCAGAAGGGATAGAGGGAAAGAGAAATCTGGGAAAATCAAGGAAAAGAAATCGGAGGAGAAAGATTTGTTCTAATTAGGTGGTGTGAAAGAAGTTGAAGAAAAATACACAGAGGGAAAAATAGAGAGGAGGGTGATAAGAGAAATAAAAAATCAGGCAACATGATCATTTTTTATTTTCTTTCATTGAAGGTTTTCTGAGTGATAGATAAGAGCAAATCCCAGTTGCTGGTGTCACCATTTCTGGTCTTTGTGGCTTCATCATTTCAAGCAACAATTTACGAATTAACTGTAATAATAAGAATTATTTATATAGTCCCCAATTCCTCTCTTGCCCTCTCCCAAAAGTATGTAGAATAACAATTTAATCATAAATATAATAAAATATAGAATACCAGCTCCTTAAAATACCAACATATAAAATCAAATGAGGGGTCCAGGTTAATAAAAAAGGGGAAATGGTTTGGAAGGGAAGGCAATAAGTATAGGGAGAACAGTGGTGATTCATAGGACATCTTTAGGGAGGATGGGAGCACTTTAGGTTGCTTCATAAACATGGAGTGAGATGGTGAGATCCTTAAACAGTAGGTGGAATATGAGGACAAATATTGTCATTACCATGCTCAAGGGGCAGGTCTTGTATATAGACTGAGGCAGCCAATCTAAGAACTTTAAGAGCGAGCACTACCAAGTGAAAGTCAATCCACCATTTTAAAGACAGCTAACATAAATAAAGCAAGGCGAGCTTAAGGTATGATCATGATAGCTCAAATGAGTGAGCAGTTGCACTGCTATATTCTGAATCAACTGCAAGTGACAGAGCAGCCCCAGGGAGAGGTCTGCCAAGAGGGAATTACAGTAATTGTAATTAACGTTGTTAGTGCTGATAATGAAAACACACCATTTTACATGCACTGAAAACTCATATTCTGAATTTTTTCTCACACATTTCTTGGTAAGGATGTTTAAAGGTTTGGAGTTTTCATAAGGATATGTAAGAAGATTATGCATTTTTCTAAAAATAAACAAAACAAAATCAAGCCACTCCTGGAGTGCAGAATAGCTAGGGTCTCTTCCTTTAGCTGATTCTCCACCTTCCTTAAGTTTCCTTCCATAATATATATACCCAGTGTTAGGCCTTGTATCTATCCATTTGCTGCTCTCTGTACTGAAATTCTCTACATGTAATTTTATTTTGAATGTTTGGATGGTATTTGCTCCTTGTCTTCCGCTGTCTTCCATATTGCAGCAGTTCTCAAACTGTGGTCTATGGCCCACTGGTGCTAATTCCTCTTGTTTCCACTTAGCAAATCACAGTCACATTATAGGAAGAAAAGGCAATGCACTTTTAGCTAAAATTATTTATCCATGTAAACAATTGGTGTAGTTGCCACAGAAATGTAAGACGGTTCTGGATAGAACTGGGAGGGATTTTGCACAATTTCATTTTGGAGGGGAGTTGGGTTATGAGACAATCTCTATTAAGATGTAGTTCATGTTACAAAAAAGTTTAAGAACCTAGCCCTTTTGGTTTCTACTTGACTGATAAGATATTTGAATCACTTATCCATAGGATTGGTGCTACATCCCCGGCTTTGGAACAGTCTCTTGGAGGACCTTCTTCAATATGCCAGACCCCAAGGGATCTCACTCTTCCTTCAGGGCAGGCCACTCGGCCTCACTGCCTCTTGAGACCGAACCCATGGGTCTTGAGCACTCCTGCCTCATACAGTGAGCACTGTTTGGCAAGTCCAACTGAGACAGACTCCTGGTAGAGACCTGTACACTCTTCAAGGATTAGTGGACCTCACCCAGTATTTGCAGTGACACTCAGGCAGAGTTTTCAAAATAGTAGGGTCTATTAGTCAAGTGGAACACAGTATAGGAAATCCTTAGGGTAGCATAGAGAAAAGAAGGTTAAAGCAAAGGCCATTCTGGTTAGCCCAGAGCCCCAGCCAAACTTTAGTAAAACTCCATTTTCAGGTTCTGTCTATCTCCCAGTCTCACCTCCTTAGTCAGTTCCCAGGTGAAAGAGAGCCCTCAGCTTCCTCCAGAACCCAATGCTTATCCTCTGCCTCACCCCTCTCCAGTCCTCTGTTCTTGTGCTGGGGTCTTTGCTCAACTTCCCTGCTGAGACATTGACACCTAACAGACCCTCTGGTTGTTAGGTGTCAATGTCTTGGTAATTGGGTTTTTCATTGTCTTCTCAGATTTTCCATTGATATGGGATCAGCCTCGGACAGTCCTTTTTAGTGACCCCTTCAGGCTTAGATAACTAGGCCACACACACACACCTATGTCTCTTAGCCTGCCCTGAGCACAAACGTAGTCCTTTTTCTCCACTGTGTAGCCATGCAAAAAATAGTGGAAATTGAGGCTCACATTGGATTCATAAAAATATTACAGAAAATTCCCACTTTGTCGAGGCAATCCAATTCACAATCCCAGATTGGGATCTAGAACTAGGAGTCACACATCTATTGTTTAGAAACCTGTTCTTTCTTCACTGGCCCAATTCCTTGCAACTTGTTAGGGAAAAAAATACTTCTTTACCTGAGGACCAGCAGTTTGGTACTCCCTTGCTTAAGGAGAAAATTGGTCACTCTCTTTTTACAGAAGTTCTGCTGACAAAAATCATGTCTGCTTTGGAGCCAGCTGCTTGTGTGATGCCAAGAGAGATTTGAAATAAGTAAGGGACACAATAAATATTTATTAAATTTTATAAGTAGAGAGTAAGAAAAAAATCTAAGCATGGCAACAAGCTGTTTAAGGATAGTGCATAGTTATTTTAATGTAAGTAGATGCCAGTCTATTGAGGGATATTATGTTGAAAAAAATCACGTGACGGCTTATAATAGAGTTATGGGCTAATACAGCTAACGCCAGGGAGACATGGAAAGCTGAACTTGCTTTGCCTCTAATTTCATAAGTGGGTATGTTGCTGTGATGCATCATGGATGTTTACCTCTGTCATCTTGCATTATACTATATGGTGTGATGCAATGCCAACTTTGTTGGACTTATGGCTTCATTCCAATGATATGCTTAGCTAAGGATTTTTTGTTAAATATCGTTTTCAGAACTCCCTCCATTTCCTCCCTCCACTTCCATTATTATTATTTTCCCCCAAGACTTGTTATTTTAAGTCAGTGATAATGTGGTATGCTTAGATAATATGAATATTACAGAAGACAGAAAATATACAATATGATCACTGGACAGTCTCGTTTGCATTTTGGGCAAATGTTTTATTTTTAATCTCAAATGATCATTTTTGTTTAATGTAATGCCCCAAACTATTATCCACACCCATTTACTAAAATAAAGTGTGTGGGGGATGTGTCTTCCTTTTTTCCTCCTTTCTTCCACCAATTATGGGAACAAGAAACAGGTACATTGCTCACCTGCAAATGGCTTTAGGTATCTAATTCACTTCAGGGAATTTGGCATGGCTCTTCTTTTCCCCCCAGAAAGACCTCAACGTTCACTATTCTGTGAGAATGAGTAGTTTTAACCATCTGTTCTTGGGAAGTGTTTAAAGATATTGGTGCATGTCTTTCTCAGAAATACATGGTATCTAATAGTAAAGCCTAGAGATTATGACAATTATTATTGGTACAATTAT